CTAGTTACACCAATAACTTTTAAGAAAGGGTGCGGTTTGTATAAGGTCGAAGCCCTAAACAATAAAAGGCGCACTTTCAAATATGGTCGAAGGATTTTGTTTCAGTATTGAAAATCTTTGTGATGATCTGAAAGTATATTTTTATCTCTAATTACAAAATTTAAAGTTTAAAATATCTTGTACATTGAACAGAACTATGAATACTTGAAAATCTTGAAAATCAACTGTCCAAAAAATATATTACAAGATGCTCTATTTTCAAGACATGAAAACTATTTTTCTCATGTCCATGTATCTTGAAGTTGAGATGATCTATTTGAGGATTTTAAGTATTAAAACAACTTTTTCGAGTGAACTTTTGAGGCAAGTCCTAATTTAATTGTTTAGAGTCTCACCCTTATATAAACGTTTTCCTTTAAGGAAACAATCATTAAATATAAAGATACAAAAGGGACCAAAAAATATTAGACGGGGACCAATTTAGCCTTAAAATGTATTTCCATTTATACAAATTACAAGTAGTCTTTGCAAGAACAATTCCATCAAATTAATGGAACCTGCTATCCCATCTCTCTCTCTCATCTTATACAACAGCTTGGGCCCCCTAGGATTCGATTTCCTCAGTTCTCTCTCTTCTTTTCTTATCATTGAATCATCTAGTAGGAAATGAGTCCTCTTCGAGATGGAGCCCGACACACATGGAAGTAACATTCTCCATTTTTGTGGTGGTTTGCATTGTCTTTGTCCTGGTTAACTAAGGAGCATGTGATTAATAGCCTGAAAATCATGAAGATGTTTATGAAAACAATTGAAGGATGCCCTTCTTGTAAAGATAGTTGATCTTGTATATCACGTATTTATTTTAGAGTAATGATCTTATGAGACCTTCTCATACCCATGTGTGTAGGACCTCAAAGGATCACCATTAAATTTGGCACATATATCTAGAAAGTTATCACATGGGTGTGGGCTTTGACTTTTCTAGAGATCTATGCCAAATTTAATGGTGATCTTTTGAGGTCCTACACACATAGATGTGGGAGGATCTCATAAGATCATTTCCCTTTATTTTATATATATCATGTATAGAAAGTTATTTGCTATAACTTATTTTATAACTTATTTTACTGTACAAGTTAACTTGCGGTACAAGTGTTCTCTTATTATATTATATAATACATATTGATAATGGTAAAGAATAATGAGAGATTTTTCCTCTACCCTTTTGTGTGTTTGACACTTCTAAGTTTCAGGCACACACTGTGTGCTATCTCAAGCTAGTTTGCCCCTACTAACTCAAATCGGACCGCACAAGAATTATATGGGTAAATTTAGCCTCGAGATACCTGATAAAAGGGTGTTGAGATCTTATCTCGCCTATCCAATGCACTTGAATAAGGAGACTTTAATGCACCAGAGTTGCCTAATTTTAAGAAGTGATTGAATGAAAATGAGAGTATATTGTGGGCAGAAAAGAGAAATTCGAAACCATATTTATAAAGTGAAAAAGTGGCTCTTCTTGTCGAGTTGTGATTTTTTAATAGGTTCAATAGGTTTTTGATTATTTGTTTGTATGCTTTACTATTTGGTAGTAATCTTGCATATATTAGGAATACCTGTACTTTGAGAAAATTCAAATCAGGTAACTTGCATATATTAGGAACCCCTATACTTTGAGAAAATTCAAATATGGTTTCTTGTTAAACCAAGTACATATGGAGTCTTGTCTACTTTCTTACACGACACTCTACTAATTATAAACATGTTGAAATTAGAGTTTCATCCTGTAAATTCAAAAGTAAATCAGTATTAACATTAAGTTAACCATTTCTACCAATGTTCTGTTCTTTCTCTCGGCTAAGCTATTTGTTGAGCGGTTATCTTCACAAATCATTTGATAAATATTCTTTATTCCTATCACTTAGGATTTAATTTTTGTATTAAGTTGATTTTCAACTTGTACTTTATAAATTTAAACATTTTGAAAGCCTCATATTTCTGCCTTAGTCATGTAAGTGTAATGAGAGGAAACATCTATGAGTGTGATAAATATCTTTTTCTTCCTGTTGTAAGTATGTTGGTTAAATCACAAATATCAATATGTACAAGTCCAAATAACCAGATATTCTTTTTCATTGAAGGAAAATGATTTCTTATTTTCTTGGCTTGTATATATGCCTCACATTTCATTTTACAAAGGGTAGGATTTATATAAGGCCCGCATTAAACGATCAAAGTAGGGCGCACTACAAAACCATACTAGAAGATGCAATCCTAGTTTTGGAAATGCTTACGATAGCTTGAAAAATATGTTTCCACCCTTGTTATGAAATTCAAAGCTTCAAAATTGTGTGGATTGAGAAGATCTATAAGTGTTTGAAAATGTTGAAAATTTACGGTCTAAATACTGTGTTACAAGATGCACTATTTTAGTGACTTGAATTTTTTTTTTTTCATATTTATATATCTCAAAGTCAAGATGATCAATTCAAGATTTTTTTAGCATAAAAAAAAGCTTTTTTAAAGAGTTTTTGAGTTGCACCTCACTTCTATAGCATAAGGTTGGCACCCTATACAAGCTTTTTTTTTTGATAAATCCCCAAAATTCAGAGATTGGGCGTAATTTAACCATAGATTTATAAAAGTATAAATTAATTGTTCTAAACTAGCCTGCCACAAGTTACATGGACTTACAATATAAGTAGAAGATTCATTATTTCATGAATCAAGTCAAGCGTGAACATCCCATTGCAAGAGTATCCATTTCAATAATTAAATGATTTTTGGTCAAAATAATCTTATCAGACGCTACGACTATATTAAGAACTCCAAAATTCAATAGGTAACCTGAGACTAGATTCATTCTCATAGGACATACATGAAATGCATTTTCCCAAGTTAACAACCTGCCCGAACAAAATTTTAAATTCTATAGTACCTTTACCAAGCATCTTCATTACCCACCATCCAATAATCTATATGTCTTAAAGAGTATTAGTTGTTTGATATATGAGTGGTAGCCCCGGTATCCACTGACAAATCTTCTTCTTTGTTGATCATATTATTTCAATGACCATAGCCACGATTTTTCAATGCTCATATTTGCTCTATTTGTGGGTGTCGGCATCCCATTGAATAGTGTTTGGGTTTTATGGGTGTCGGCATCCCATTGAATAGTGTTTGGGTTTTCTAAAGACAAAGCAATTTTTGGTTTTGTTCGCCTTAAATTTTTTTATCCTTAGAAAGATGTTTTTTTTGGATCAGGGGAAAGGACTTCTTGCTCTTTTAGGCCTTCCTTTAGACTCTATAAGATTCACCTTGGACCGAAATTCCAATGATTTCTCTTTTTCTCAAAGTCTACTCTCTTCTTCAATTGGAAGAGAATATGGAAGTCGAGCTATGTTAACATTAACTCTTTTATGCTTCATTTTCTTTTGATATTTTGTCAGTGATTGGGGTAATTCTTCCAATTCTACATCTTTAAGTTCATATGTGATATGTTGTACCTTATAGAGTTGGTTGAGTATGGGCTTATTTTCAGTGATTCGAGAGTCCAAGTAAATTGAATTTAACAGTCTTTGATTACCCTTATCGTCCATTAGGTGATTGCATATGCCACATTGAGCATATGCAATAAAAACATCAACTTTTCTTGCCACCCATTGAAGTTGGTTCCATCAATTAGATCTAGTTTTCTAAAGTCTTGATTCATAACTTTGATGGGATTGAAGGCATTGTTTCACACGGGAATTTTGTCTTGCATTGTTTGAAAATAATGGCGGTGGGTGAAATGGGGGCAGTAAATGAAATATATAAAGGTGTATGAAAACAATTGCAGGATGATCTTCCTATTTCTAGGAATGTTAGGTGTGCTATTGTAAAATAATATTTGCCTTTTATTGATTTAAATTAGTGTGCATAAGGTTGATTTAAATTACTGTGCATAAGGTTTATATGGCCAAATTTTCCCTTGAGATACTTGAAAATAGAATATCAAAATCTTATCTAGCCCAACCAATGCATTTGAATAATAAGATCTTAAGGCATTGAAGTTGCTTGATTATAAGACAGAGAAAGTAAGTGAGGGAGAAAATGACAAACGGGAGTCAATTATGTATAAAAAAGAGAAATATGAACCTATATTTATAGAGTGGGAAAGTGGTTCTTCATTGAGAGTTGTAACGTGTTTACAACCAAATTTGAAGACTTCACAGATGAAATCCTCTTTGATTTATGTTGTAAACTAAATAATCAAAATTTGTTAATAGAGAAAGTGGGGTCTGTCAGATCGTATCTTCACACAACGATGCTAGAGCTGGCTTGAAATCATACAACATTCATGAAGAAACCAAGAGAATAGGAAAGGAAATAAAAATAAAAGGAATTTACTTGCAATTTGGTGTCTCTATCCGGCACCCAGAGTTGGCCTACTGGATTAGGCAAGTGACTCAAGTGTCTTCATCTCAACCATAGAGCTTTCCTTGAATGAGAAGTACCCATGGCAATATTCTTCCTAGGGTTTTTATTACAGTGCAAATAACCATGCCTAGTTTTCCTTTCTATTACAAGGGTTGCACAGTTGAGCATATGGGCTGTTGTACTCGAAGTTCTCTTGATACTTTGTTTATCAAATTTTTTGAAAAATAACGATTATGGAGTTAGCAGAAAATCCAACATTGGACAAGTAAAAGCACATAACAAAAAAAAAAGAAAAAAAAAAAAGAAAAAAAAGAAAAAAGAAAAAGAAAAAAGACAAGCACTATCAAGCTTTTGATGAAACATATTGTTCACAAAAGGAAAAAGAAAATGGGGTTTTTCTATGCATTCAAGTTAGACAAAAATGTTGAACTTCTTCACAAACTCTCTTTCATCCGATATGAAAGCTAATGTTACATCCTTCTAAAGGGAGTAATTATCGAAAAAAAAGAAAAAAAAAAAGAAAAGAAACATTTTCTACATGACAACCATACCAGACAAAAGGGCTCCTAGCACCTCCACACTCTAGTCACCACGTTATGGTTTCCATTTCACATCATCCCACTAACCCTTTCAAAAAAAAACTAACTCATGAACTATTTGAAATAATGGGTTGGGGCTGTTGTCCGCACTGATTTACCAAAAAAAAAAGAAAAAGAAACCAGCGAGACTCAAAATTCAAAATACGCCTTAGGCACACAGCTAGCAACCCATGACCTTGTTGGGTGGGAGGCCAGGCTTCTTCTCAGCTACAGTGCCATCGTTGCCTGCAAGCGCCTTGTACTTGTCCTTCCTAGTGAAGTTGGTGCACTGATAAGAGAGTGTAGAGGCAATCACCCTCTGTATGTAGTTGGCTACCTCATGGCTCGACTTCCCCCCCGCGCAGGTCAGTTCCTTCGGAAGCTTGTTGAGGAACGTGACCTCATACGCAGGGGTCGGGTTCATGAAGAAGTAGAAGGGGTCCATACCCTTCCAACCCCGAGCAGTCGTCCCGTGGAACATGCTCATCCTGTTAGCCATGGCCACCGGCACGATCTCATCCGTGAGCTCCGCAAACAAAGCGCTGAACCTCAACAAGAAAGGCTCCCTGCAAGTGGTTCCCTCAGGGCAGATGACAAGGTCGCCTTCTTGAAGCAATTCCTTTATCATGTTCGCGTCCTTGGTGCGGTCACGGTTCAGTCTGACGGTCTTGATGGGAGACAGGATCTCAGACAAGCGAGAGACGGAGTAGGTGACGGCGGCGATCGGTCGGCCGAGGGCGGTGGAGAGGAAGATGGGGTCGAGGAGGGTGCGGTGGGAGCAGATGAACAAGACACCCGACACACCGGCGGAGCGTTGGGCAGGTGGTGGGGGAGTCCCTTTGATGGTGACGCGAACGCCTAGGGCTCGAAAGGCGTGGTAGACGAGGGGCATCGGGAGAAGGGCGCCGGCTGCTATGCGTAAACAGGCTAGGATGAAGCCCACAGGGATCCAGAGGATTGTGAGGAGTGCCACTAGTGGGGTGGGCTTCTGAACCAGGCGACCATCGTGGAAGATGATGGGCTTAGGCAGCTTCTCTCCGCTCACTGCCTCCACCTTTGGATTTGCCGGGACCATATACGCCTCCTATGTCATGGAAAACTGTTTGGTCAGTCGGCCAGATCCACACTATTCTTGTGATGTATTTCTGATCCAAAATTTTTAGAATTTGATAATTGAAAATTTCCTTTTTCAAAAAATATATTTGTTATTTTTTGAATTTCTTTCTTCACCGTCCATTTTAACTTTTAGAAGATATAACATTTTCTGACAACCTATCTTAGAGATAAACCTTAGATAGACTAGGGATATTACGGTAATAGGTAATTTGGCTGACTCACTAAAACTGTGTTCATATATGATTAAACAATAATAAGCACCTATTTTTGTCTAGAAATGGCTTCTTGATCAAGTTGATAAGGGTTAGAAATAAGTCTCTCCGAGTCGTCGTGGTTTTTTTTTTGTTTAATTTTATAGGGAAATTTATCAAAATATGCTTAACTTTTCAACAATTTAATAATTTACTATATTTCAATTATTCCAACTCATGGTCATGTGTATTTGATGAGTATTTTGAAAATAAATTAAAAGATATCTAAAAAGTTAAATCTTTTTTTTGGGTTTGGGTAATCCAGTGAAGAAGATAAGCCCCTACTTGTTTTTCTAGATAGATTAGATACTAAGCTTTATTGAATTGGTCGTGTCAGGATTGGAAACCACAACGTGATAATGAGGGTGTTCCCACCATGATCCAACCCCTTCCTTAAAAAAAAACAGTTAAATCCGAATTTTGATAAATTTTTCAATTTCTAAAATCTAGAAAGAAAATTTAGAAATAGTAAACATGCTATGTTGCAAAATGCAAATTCAGGGAAAGGCACCTTGCAGAGCGTCATGAAGGGAAGGTCAGTCTTCCGATCACCAAGGCCGATATGGGGCACGTCCTCTCCAAAGGCCACCTTCAGGGCCTCCGCCTTCTTTCCTCCAACCAACACCCCTGAGGGCGACACAAGGCCAGTGGCCCTCCCCTTGTACGTCGCAATCTCGGTGCCGATCACCATATCCGCTTCGAGATAATCCTTAAGGAACGCTTCAACCATCACCCTTGGATTTGCAGTGAGCACACACCGTCTCCCACAGGACGAAAAAACACGCCATGTCTCCGGGTGGAGATCCGCAGAGTAAAATTTTGGCAGCACAGCTCGTGCGGCTGACTCGATATCCGCCACTCTCATTCCTGTGAAGGTGGCAAATATCAGAACCTGAATCCCTGCAGATTCCGAGATGAAATAGTACAGGATTCCCGCGAGGGGCAACACCAAGAGCAACCCCAGAAGCCTCAAGATGCCGCCAACCTCGAAGGCCACAAGTGCAAAATACGGGAAGGAGCTGCGCCCACAAAGCAGAGTGCCATCCATGTCAGCCACCACGGTGTGATTCTCACGGCCGATCGACGCGCACTCGTCGACTGTGCGCACATTGCGTCGAGAGGCCATAGCTATTGATAGATTTGTCTTAGAATCCTGGTGTGTGTGTGTTTTGGAGGCCTACCCCGCACTGTCACTGTGGAGGGAGGTGGGGTGAGGTGATTTGAAGGATTGAGAATAGAGGTTACATGTATATATATTTTTACAGTGAAGAGAGAGAGATGATGTTTTTGAGAGAGCATAAGACATGACGGAGGAGGGAGGTTTGTTAGGATGTAAGATGCTTGGTGGCGCCCGGATCCTCGAAAAGTCTGATGCAGAGGCCTTGGATACCTCGAGGAACAAGTTTGCGCCATTGAATCTTTTGTTTTCTATCTATGCATATAATATAGGAATGGGATGAAGTTTCTATAGAGCCTAGGATTTATGAAAACAAAATAAAGCCTCACCTCTAATCCTCATATGGAAAGTGCTTTGGGCAATAGAAATCTCCTGATTGCTAATTAATTTCTAATACCTATAATAAAATTTGAAACTAAAAAAATGACGAATCTTGCGGATATGTTAATACTTATTTTTAGGGTGAAATAGATGGTTTAGATGATTTGATCCAATATACACTATTTTTAGAGTTTGAAATCGTAATTTTTTTTCACAACTATAATGTTCAAGCTAAGATGATCGATTTAAAGGTTTTTCAATACTTGAATTGCAATTTTTTATGAGTTATGAGGTAATGCTTTACTTATTTTGATGGGGCTGCAGCCCTATCGAACCATTTTCCTATAATTCATTCAGAAGAATTTTTTGTGCTCTTGAAGGTGCATCTCTTCCATTTAGTTTTCAAAAATATGTATAATAAGACCATTTATTTTTCATGTAAGAATATCAGAGTCATTATATATATATGGGTTTGTCTAGAGTTAACAACCCCTCAAAATACAACGGTTCAAGTTAGAAGAGGCTGTGATGGATGTATTTATCAAAACAATAATTATTTTTTTATTAAAAAATTATTTAAATATGTAACTTTACTATTAAGCAAGAGCAAATTTGAAATTTTCACAAAAGTACAATGGCATTTTGGAAGTTAGTGTTCTAAAACTTTATTTGTACAGTGCTCTTGTCTTTTAGTTAAAATTTCAATTTTACCCCTTATATGATAAAAATATCTTGTCTTGTAGTAATATTTACAAAATTGCCCCACAAAAGTAAATTTTTTTAAAAAATAGACAAGAAAATTAATAAATCCACCATTCACAACTCTCTTTATGATGAACCTTTGTAATTTGAAGGGTTGTGAAGTTTAAAATATCCCCATATATATACATATATATGGAAAAGTCTTCCCAACGCCTATAGGCGAAAATAAACAGTGATTTTGCCTACTTTCATCACTATCCAAAGTTCATCGCACGGTCACGATTGTCTGGTAGTTTTTCTTTATCTATTTATTTTTTCTACAAATCAGAATGATTTGAAATTTGGAGTGTGTGTATATCTTAGTGAGGAACACCTAATAAAAATATATTAAAAAATAATTCAAGAAAAAAAAGATCTCCTATTTTGATGAACACACGCTCTAAATTTCAGGTGATTCCGATTTGTAGAAAAGAAATGAAAAATGAAAAATGAAAAATGAAATACTACCAGATAATCGTGAACGTGCGATGAACTTTGGACGGTGATGAGGGTAGGTGAAATTACTATTCATTTTTGCCTATAGACATTTTGTAGCATCTTCCATATATATATATATATATATATATATATATATATATATATATTAGTTTAGACTATAACACAAGTAATATACATAATACTATTTACGTTAGTAGTAAGAGGTACGTAAG